TAATATTCACCCACCGAGTCAAATGCAAGAGTGCACAAGATCTAACCACACACTAGAGTCCCAAAGAACCCAGCTGAGGGCCTAGACCCCATGGCAATGTTCTTGATGAGTCGAATTTAAGACTTAGGGCCCATGGCAATGTCCTCCAAAAAGTCCATCAGCGGGCTTAGAGGCCATGACAATGTCTCACGCAAGTCTGCATCAAGGATCTGCACTGGAAACGCCCAAGGGTCAGCGGTGGAACCCAAAAAGTCTGTGCTGGTGGCCTGACCGATCTGTGCTAGCAGGCTGAGAGATCTGCATGGAGCCAGGAAGCAACACTCAAAGTAAGGGCCAGTGCTCCCCTGAAAAGAACTGCAGCCATTCTCACTAACAGTGAGGTCCTGAGCTCCTCTGATGATGAAAACAGCTGAGTTCATATCAAGAAAACCAGCACAACAGTCCCCTCCAGGAGAATCAACAACGTCCCATCTTCCTCTCCAAACTGTTGGCAATAATCCGCAGGTGGGCCCTCCACACCCAGCACCACGCCCATTCAGTTCAGCTTGGTGTTACAAGTTGATCAACAGTTGTCCATCCACCACAGGGGATATCTTTCCATTTGCTGATAAATTTTTTCCATCTCCTTTTTCAGCATATTAGTTTTCATTATAGAGGTCTTTTACTTCCTTTGATAGGTTAATTCATAATATTTAATTATTCTGAATGCTATTGTGAATAGTATTGATTTCCTGATTTCTGAGTTCATTGTTGGTGTATAGGAATGCTATTGACTTTTGTATGTTGATTTTGTGTCCTGCTAAATGTGGTTGTCAATTCTAAGAGCCTTTTAGTGGAATTTTGGGCCTTCTATCTATGCAAAAGATCATGTCATCTGCAAATAATAATAATTGAACATCTCTCTCTCTCTCTTTTTTTTGTCTTTTTGAAACAGGGTCTCACTATGCAGTTCAGGCTGGCCTTGAGCTCACTTTGTAGTGCAGGCTGGTCTTAAATTCCCAAGGATCCTTCTGCCTCAGCCCCCCAAGTGCTGAGATTACAGGCATGGCCTCCCATGCCCAGCTGACTTCCTCTTTTTCTATATGTATCAATTTTATTTCTTTTTCTTGTCTGATTGCTCTAACACTTCAAGTATATAGAAGTGGTGATAGTGGACAGCCTTGTATTGTTCTTGATTTTAGAGAGAAGGCATTCAACATTCACCCATTTAATACATTAGCAGTGGGTTTGCCATAAATTGGTCTTATAAGGATGAGACGAGAGGGGTGCCTTGCCTTGCAAGTGCACAGTCGTGAGTTCGATTCCCAGTATTGTCAAAGACTTTTCCTGCATCTATTAAAATGATCAAGTGATTCTTGTCTTTGCTTCTGTTTATGCATTACATTTATTGATTTGTGCATGTTAAACCACCCCTGCATACCTGGGATGGAATCTATTTGGTCATGATGTGTGATTTTTGATAATTTGTTGCTTATGCCATCAGAGTTAACATAAAACAGAGTAAAAGAAAATAAAAACCCAACCTAACAAAACAATGAAAATGATATGGTGTTGGGGGCAGGGAGATCTTCTCCCTGTAGGTTATGGTTCTCTCCCTCCACAGTTAGCAAATGGCGTTGACTCATGGACCGAAGGCTTGGATCTGGCTGTCACCATGCCGCAGCAGCACCCGCATGGTGCTGGTATCCGGGTGGGGATCTCCTCCCATGGGGCCTGGTTCTCTTCCTCTGCAGTCCGCAAATGGTGCTGACACCCTTTTTTTTTCCGACTGCCTTGATTTTCACCTTTTCTTTTTTTGGTAAGATTGGTTAGCAGTTTGTCATTTGTGTATTCTTTCAAACAACCAACCAGCTCCTTCACTGTTTATAATTTTGACTCAATTTTACTCATCTTTGCTTCAACCTTTTTAATTTCCCTCCTTGTACTATCAATGGATTTGGCTTGTTCTTGTTTTTCTAGGACTCGTGATGCATCATTAGGTAAATCTGAATTCATTGTTTTTCTGATGTGAGCATTCACAGCTATAACTTCTGTTAGGAGGGCTTTCATTTTGTCTTAAACACCCCAAATGGCTTCTGATTAAACACTGTCATATATGGCAGACACATGGCTATATTTCTTCCCAAACTATAGCCTGCCACGTGGAAGGAGTCACTTGCTATTTTAGCAATTTATAATAATAATGGGCTTTTCTTGGGGCTCCTGCTTATGGCCCAGTCTTTTCTTTCTTCTTGGGACTGCCGATCCTCCCTGGATTTAACTTGTGTCAGCAGAGTCAGGTTTCTGTTCCTGGAAACCAAGCTTCCTTTCCTTCCTTTTCTTTTCTGGGTCGCTCCATTTGTCTAGCCTCTCTGTATTTTCTAGAGTTCTTGACAGCTTCCTCCTGATTCCCAGAGATCTACTTCTTTTTCTCTCTTCATCAAGTTGTTGTTTCCCAAGTGCCTTGATTCCAGGTCCCAGAGAGGATATATTTTGCTGCTGCTCTCTGTTCTACTATTTTTAATTCCCCCTGGCAGAATAATTAATAATGGACAAAGAGTGGAAGCAATCCAATGTCTGTGAACAAATGGATAAATAAGATGTGTACATCTATACAGCAGATTAAGCAATAAAAACAAATATTAATACATGATAAAACGTAGATGAATCTTGGAAACGTTACAGCAAGTAAAAGAAAACTGTCATAAAAGACCACAGCTTATATGATTCTACTTACATCAAATGTTCAGCATAGACATATATTTTTTAAGAGTTCTCTAGAGGAATAGAATCAACAGAAAATATATATGTATATTTACACTAAGCATAAGGAGATTTATTTAGGTAGTATTACAGGATCACGGCAGAAGAACCTACAATTGGTGTCTGTGGTACTGAGAGCCAAGGGACCCAGTAGCCCACAAGCCTATTGGTTGGTACCACTCACATTCAGGGTGGGTCTTCCTCCCTGTTTGCTGGCCTACATGTCAATCATCTAAATACCCTGAACCATGCTTTTTTAATTTGCTAAGCATTTCTAGGGCTGAGGTTGAGGTGGGATATAGAGCAACTTCTGGGTAGGCACAGCAGCTTTTTGGGGGTGATGAAAATGCTGCAAAATTTATCATGATAGTGGTTGCAGAACTCTGAGAATACTCTAATGCCCACTGGTTTGTAACACTTTAAGTGGGTAAGTAATGGTCTGAGAATTATATCTAGATAAAACTGTTACTTAAAAAAAAGAGTAAGATAAAATTTCTGAAGTTGAGCTTTTGATCACAGACTATTTTCTTTGGTCATGGCCCTATTTACTGGGGCCAGCAGACTGTAGAAATGAAGAGTTGGCCAAGGCTCAAAGGAACTCTCTTGCTTTCTGCTTTGTTTTGAGCAATTTATTTTTAAATAACCCTTCATGAAATTAGCTAAACAGGGTCTACTTTTGCATATCCTCTCCTAGGGCTTTTGATATTTTTATCTTGGGGACGGGGCAGAATGCGGAGCATATGTCTGCTTCTTGGAAAGATGTGGAGGGTTAAGGGCCAGTTGTCAGCTTTGGTTTTCTTGGCCCCTGACTCACGTCCATGTTCAACTTCAACAGCGTCCAGTATCAATCACACAGGAGCCAAACACGCCATGAGCCACAGAGCCCTCCCCACTGCTCTGAATATCTGATTCTTTCTTGAATGGATGCACAGTCACTGCTGTGTTTTTGGAGCATTGGGAGGAAGAGATCCAAGGGAACCTTATAAAGAATGAGGAAACAGAGCCTTTTTTTGGCTTCAGAGTCACCTGGTGATGCTGCAAACTGTATGGCTAGTAGGTTCTCCTTACTCCCTTGCCTAGGAGCTGGTTGGGTGTCCTCATAGTCTACTTTATAAGTACAGAATAGGAATGAGGGATGACTCAGAAAACCGGAGTGGTAAGAGGCAGCTTAATTTAGGTAAGTAGGGTGTATTGGAAGAACATCAATCCTAATGCATCAGTCTGGCTTACAGGCTCCCCCAATTTATTCACCCCATGTATACCATCCCCAGCCCCATCCTCAGTCAACTGTTACAAGGGAAGCCTGGCTACTACCACGGTAATGCTGTTTGTTGTCTCACCTCAGCTGGGCACAGGGTTGGGGGCGGGGACCAGACTTCAGAGTGACATCTGTCACACTTGGTGGTATAGGATCCAAAGTAACCCATGCATAAAAATCTAACTTAACTGGACTTCTCCTTTAGCATCTGTGCACAAAGGCCAAGAAATAAAACCCAGAAGTATGGGGGAATCCATGGCTGGTAAGGGAAACACGGACCAGTTAGAGAGAAATAGGAGACCGAAAACACCAAAAAGCCAAGTGTCTCTTTCTTACCTCCCTTCCACTCTTCCACTGCTTCTAGCCAGCATCATTCCTGCTGCTGGAACATAACCTGGCAACTACACACATGGTAGTGACCAGCTCAGTAACACAGCCCTTTGTATTTGCTGTCCTGGGGTTATAATCCTCAATCAAACGTGAGCAGGCTACGTTTTTTTCATGCTCAATTTCCTAGAGAAAATGAGCTAAGACAGAGACTAGTGTAAACCTGAAGAATCAAAGTAAAAAAAAGGGAAAACTCAAAAGATATAAATTTGTATACATACTCTTAAGATAGCTAAGATGATTGTATTACTGATTCCATTAGTTTTTGGAACAAAACAGTCAGTATCTGGCATAGGATTAGATCAGTTTTACATATCTATATCTGGTAATCTGAGCAACTCTTCTGAAGATTAATTAATAACCTCTGTTAAGTTCCTACCACCTTGTTTTGAAAGCGTATACTGGTACTGTTTCATGCTTTTTGTTATTATTTATTTGTCTGGGGTTTTTTTGGTTTGGTTTAGTTTTTCCCTCTTTAAAAAACAAACAGAGGGAAGATTCAATAAGCTTGATAAAGATAGCGTCAAAACATTAAGGTACATACATGCTGATAAGGATGGATGTATATTGCATATTGTAAAGAGGAAAAGGTAGAATAATATATACAACATGATCCTAGTTTACTAAAAATTTTTATTTTTTAGCTTTTGAAACTTTATTTTTAGTACATACATTTCATGAACAGAAAGCCTCTAACCCCACACACAATTACATAACCAAATGTTTTAATTTCATCAACATTCAACTATTTACACTGTCTTTCCTCAATAGAAGTACAAACCAAAATGTCTTGACAAGAAATCTTTACCAATAACAATATGTGTTTGAGGACTGGGGCTTTAGCTCAGTAGCATAAGTACCTGCCTGGCAAGTGTGAGGTTATGAATTCAATTCTCAGTACAAAAAAAAAAAAAAAAAAAAAAAAAAAAAAAAAAAAGGAAAAGAAAAATAGTATGTTTGAGTTGGTCTTATAAAGCCAACAGGATGCAAAAATAATTTTAGGTGTTTCCCAGGTAAACTTGACAGTATACCTTGCTAGGAATTCAGTTGCTTTCGCTATTAAAGGATTAAGTTAAACAAAATTTGACTAAACTGGTTATATGGTTTAGATTTTAAACATCTTCCACAAGACTCATGTGTCTAGAGGTTGGGTTTTTTTTTATAAGGTTATTGGATTGGGGGGCCACTATACTCATCAGCAGATTAATCTAGATGTACCTCTGGTGATGCTGCCTAGTTGGAGGAGGCAGGTCTGGGAGCATGCCTTTGCAATGCGTTTCTCCCTCTGTCTCTGTGTTTCCTGGTGGCTATGATGTGAAAAACTGTCCTCTACCATGCCCTTCTACCACATGGTTGATATCTTGATCCACCAGACAGCCATGGACTGAACCCACTGAAACTGTAAGCCAAAATAAACATCTTCTTTATAGTTGCTGGTGCTGGGCATTGTGTCAGAAGGTGAATAATATACTAGGGTTTTGTATGTTAGCTTTTCCTCACTTTAACCTTGTGAAGCAAAAAATCTGAGCACACTTCAGGTTTAGCACTGGTGCCATCTCCTTTACTGCCAAGAGACTCAAACCTGGAAAAGTCATGGGCTATCTCAAATGATCTTTGGGCTCACAGAAAGATACCCAAAGGCATTGTTTCTTGTGGGGAATTTCTCTCATTGTTGGCTTATAATGAAGTTGAAAGTTCTGTCACAGGTAAAAAACTTTTAGTAGCAGGCTTTTGTCTGTTACTTGATTGCTTATGCAAAATACTACAGTAAATCTGGAGGCTTATCTTTGGCCAAATTGCTTGGAGAAAGCAGGATTCTCAAAACTGGTTTTTGCAAGGCAGCCCAGTTACATACACTGTTCTCTCTCCCTCCCATCTTACCTATCTCTGTAACTTCCTTAAGTTTAAATTTTTCTGCTAGGATTTGGCCCCATTCTGTCTTAGGCCTGTTGGTGGGCTACACTGCTGTGGAAAGCTCTCTGGCACTGGAGAGGTTTTCTTACGATATTTAGATTAATAATTTATGTCCTTTCTTCAGTGTAAGACTTTTTCCTTCAAAATATCTGAGGGGTAGGGATGTCAATTTTTATTTAGATTCCTGATATGAGGCAAGAAAATGGCAAATCTTTTCTGGGGATGGCTTTTAAATTAATTTTAGTGTAGATAGGACCAGAATCTGAAACCCAGCCTGTGCACAAAAAGAACATCCTCATTGTCCAGGAAGAGTAAGTGAGGAGAAATCGAATGTTTCTTCCTGTGGAGCAGGATGCTTTGGCAATGGGCCCAGTCATTCAAGAGTTCTCCATGATCTGTTATTCAAATCCAACTTTAGGCGAGAGGCCAAGATGAAAAAACTAACTGTATCTTGACTAGCTATAACTTCATCCTGGCCCTTCTTAGCACCTCCTGTTTTAAGATGAGCACTAACTTAGAGATCAGGGCTAGAAATATAGACACCCTAACAAAACATCCCATCAATCCAAGGCAAAGCTCTCCAGAGTCCTGTGGCTTCAAGCGATCAGGGATGCCTCAGTAATCCCAAGAGGAGAGTGGCCAGGTTAAACTAGAAAACTCTCATGATGTTGACGTTAAAATATATTTGGCTGCAGTTTAAATTGCAACTCTTTGGGAATGAAAACATCCTTTCAAGATGCCTTATTCATATTTTGGCCCTCACAGATCACCCTTTCTATTTAGCAGTCCCTGTTGGATATTTGTCATTGTTTGATGTTCAGCACATCCAGTATTCAAATACATTCCAAATAGGAAAGAGAGCAAGGACAAAGGACAAGAGAAGCACAGCAGCTGGGACTGAGCTCCCTAGTCTTTCTAACTTTCTAGAACAGTACCTCATGAATTTTGCCTGTACTTAATTAGCCAGAACTGCATTATGTGGCCACATTAATCTCCATTAGCTACTTTATTGCTCCCTGAAAGTCAGAACTCTCTTAGTAAGGGAGAAGGGAAGAAATAAATTCCTGCCCTTATGGAGAAATTCAAAGAATTTATGGTCGAATATCTTAGATTTAAATGGACTCTTTTCTACCTTGTCACCCATTCTACTGGTGACCTCATTCGGTCTTACTACTTTGACTGCTAAATTTCATTAGTTTTGAAATGTACATTGTTAATGTAGCACCTTTCGCTGAACCTAAAAGTGCCTAAATGTCTAATGGACAATGCCACTTACATGTATGAGTATCCCAAATTAACCTGTACAAAATGAACTCCTTCATCAAAACTGTTCCACCTGCATCTTTGGTTGCTTAGGCCAAGAACCTTGGAGCCATCCTAAACTCCTGTCTTCTGTCTTGTTTTGTTTTGCTGAGACAGGATCTTGCTATGTAGTTCAGGCTGGCCTTGAACTCATGGCAATCCTTCTGCCAGGAAATCCTGTTTGGTTCTACCCCACCCTTCAACTATATCCAGAATCCCTGTATTTCTCATCATTTCTATCACTAAATTCTGACCCAAGCTACCAAGTCACCTAAAATCATTATTCAAACAGATAACCCCTCCTGAATTGTCTGTTCCTGACTTGCTCTTCTCTACCGATCTTATCCTCACCCTCTTTAACTCCTGCTATACACCCATCATCACTCCCTATACTATCCCTGCCAGAAACGGCAAACTCCCGAGTCAGGACCATGCTAATCTCACGTTAGACAATCATCCTGGTCTCCCGTTTCTTTTCCCTCATCCTCCCTGCAGCATCCCTCCGACTCCACCAGGACCCAGGCATGATTCCTTAGTATTACAACTGTCTACGGCCCCTCACTTTCCTCCTGCATTTCCACTTCCTCCTGAGCTTACATTTCAGTCAGTTCTTTCTTTTGAGTACATGTCTTCAACTCTCTTGTTCTTCTCTACATTGTACCCTTCTGGTGAACTCCCAAATCTGATTTGGTTACCCTTCCACCTACTCTGACCTGCACCTACCTACACAATTGGTATGGCTGGAGGAAAATTTACATGTGAGCCCGCTAATCCTACATTCAAGTCAAGATCACAGGCCTCAAATGGAAAATTAAACACTGCCTAGAAGTCATACTCTGTTTTGTTAGACGTTTTGCTCTCATTTTCATTCTTTGCTGGCCTTTCCCTTTCTTCTCAAGTCTCCATTTCCATCTCTTGCCTGTGCTCAGTCTCAAATGATGGCATTCCTTCTTATTTCAAAGAGAAAGATGGAAGGAATCTAACAAGCTCTCACCTCTGTGGCAATATACTCAATCTTTTCTCCTGTTAATATGAACTCTTTGTGTTCTTAAGTCAATCCTTTGTGTGCTAGATTCCATTTGATCTCACTGAATGATACCATTCTAGTAAATCTTCCCTGTCTCCTACACCAAATTTTCTGATTCACTGCACTATTTCCATTTGTGTACATTACTTCTTTTATCTTAAGAAATACAAAAATCCTTTAACTCCACTTCCCTCTTCCAGCCATTATGCTCTTTTCTTCTTTTATAGTCAAATTTTCTGAAAGAACTGTTTGTATTCACTGTATCTAACATAACTCCTCTATTCTTTCTTAAATCCAAATCAGTAAGGCTTACCTCCACCATTTACTGAAAAATAGCTCTTATAAAGGTCAGCAGATATTTGTCCTAGTTAATTTCTGGTTATCTTTCATATCTCAGTCAAACTTCACTGAAACACGTTGTAGCTTTCTAAGTCAATTAATATGCTGTCACTGTTATAGCACTTATGAAGGCCATAATTTTATATTTTATATGACTTTGATTGATGATTCTTTTCTCCTCCTAAAAAAGAAAATGTTCCATAAGGACAGGGACAATATATATTCTATCATAATTGTATGGTCAGTGTCTAGCACAATGCTTGGTACATAAGAATTTACCATTCTTATTTAGGGAGAAATATAGTTTATCATCATCAGCACCATCTTACATGTGGATTTGCAATGATTAAATGACATGTGACCCTTCATCTCCTGGTTTTGGCCTTATGAAGCCTCCACCATGTGTGGGACACACAGAACAAACTATGCAATCTGGTGTGACACCACGTCCTCCTTTTGTCCATGAAAGCTTAGTTACCAAGTCAACAAAGCTTTACACCATGATCTGCTCTAGTTCCTGAATCTGAAGTACCCAGAAAGAAGAGACCCTTCCCCAAAACATTTGTTGAAATTATGTACCACTGGGGCATATCACTCATCACAGATTTATGAACCATGAAGAATACTGGGGAAGGTAGGAAGATCCAGCTGAAGTTATAATATCACAATTCATTGTCTGTTGAAGACCAGTAACAAACAGAGAAAAAGCAGTTCAGGAGTAGATTACAAACTTCACGGACTTATAACAGGACCTGACTTACACAACTTATAAGGAGCCTAAAACTGTGTTAAAATGATGTACACACAATTTGGAAGACTGTATTTTTTGAAAATAGCAAACTGCCAGGTAGCAAACTGTCATGAGATATAGAGTCAGTAAAGATTTTTTAAGAGTTTACTGTTAGCAGACAAGGATATGATCCCAAGTAGATGACTCTGAAGATAAAAATAGGTACTATTAAAAATGATGCCAGGACAGTGGATTTTTACTAGTACTGTCCCAGACAAATAAATTAGAATGATCACACTTCAGGAACCATTTTCTAGAAAAACAATACTCAACTATGCAAATAACTTCATTAGGCAAGTCAACAACAGCAGCACAAGTCAGAATATAGACCGGCCACCAGTCTAGTATGAGCCTCATAGTCTTTGACACTAAATGGTCACATTAATACCATCCCCACTAAGTAAACAGAGTAAGTCACTTCCTTTATCCACTTGTTTTTCTTACCCTTCTTAAACAAGAAAGATCTAAATTCAATCTTTAAAATAGTCATTTTTATTCCATTTGAAGTTAATCGTGTCGGTTAAGAAAGACTATATACTTCTGTGATTAGCTAAGTCAAATAAAAATCACTCTTTAATTTCATAGGCTTCCCTCTTCCCCAAAGGTGTGGTTTCATGAACCAAACCTTCATGAACCAATCTTCAATCAAGATTGACTTCTGGGTCATTCACTGAAGCAACATGGCAAAACAAATCACTAGCCACAAAACTTTATCATACGGATCAATACATATATACTTCAGAGCAATGTTCTGAACCATTCACTTGACAGTTACAAACACATATGAATCTGTTCCCCTACAAATACTATTGTATTTTTTGTTTAGCAAGGGAAAATAAAGATTTTTGCAAAAATCATGTATCCCATCCAAAAGGCCTGATAATAGCAATAGTAACAAAAATCGGAAAAAAGGAAGTATTGCCATTCCAATGTTTGTTGAAACATTGCATAATTCAAATCAAGAATAAAATCCCATAAAAAATTTTAAAAATAAAATCCCATATAAATTCAATAAGGTAGATGCTGGCCAGTAAAACTGAGGCAGTATGTTATAAAAAATGTAGTCAATAATGAGTTACAAAAAATAAAGTTCTGATCAAAAAATTTACTACAAAGTGCTACATAAGGATGTGTACTAGTTACTTTCTTTAAAGGGAAAAGAAACCAAACACTTGGTTTTCTATTTACTCATAAGAAACACATAAGGAAATGTTCAGAAAATACTTCTGTCATTAGGTGATTTGTGTCTCATATGCTACCCAGAATTCAGGAATATTTTGCTCATCCTTATTAATCTGTAGAAATAAGGAAATAAAATCAGTGTCGGATCTTCAGCAGGACATTCACAACACGCGAATAAGGTCGAGAGTAATCCTAGAACGGGGGATGTCGATGTTGAGGACGCGGACTTCCACTCTCTCTCCAGGGCCCAGCCCCAGGCTCCTTCTCTTTTTTGTTTTAGAAAGTTTTGCTTCTGTTACATTTCGTATGGGAATCAGCCCTGACTGTCCCACTCCTATGTCCACAAAAATCCCAAACAGAGTGGCATTCTCAACTTTGCCGGTCAGAATCGTGCCAACCTGCAGATCCTCCAGGCATACTATGCTTCTCTTGAAATCAGGTTTATCAAAATCTGTAAGGAAAGAGGAAGTCAGTGTAACTAACAAGGCATTGTACTTCGCAGACACGATACAGCTTAGTGGGTCAGCATTTATTGCTTGTTGATTACAGGTGCAGACCAATGTTAAGCTTTGACAGAGGATATAAAAGGAGCTGTGGACACAGGTCTGCCTTCAGAGAAAACGCAGCCAACAATAAACAGAATTCACCAGTAGGAATGATTCATGAGAATCAAACACTTTCTTTGCCAGCCTCTATTCTGGTAACATGTGAACATAAGCACTTCCCATGAGGATAAAGAGTGACAGATGATGAGGATGTATGTTTGCTCAATGAATATACAAGGCTAAATCATAAACACTGAGAAAGTAAGACCCATGGAGACAGGATAGGAGTTTTCAGTTTTATTACAACCTGAATTCTTAAGTTGTCTAAAGGTGGTACAAAGTACACTGACTTTTAGTCAAATGTAGATTTTGTTCCCACAACACTGGAATTCAGGAATCAATTCCAGTTCATTTCAAATAATATTTATCCAAACACAATGCATGGATTCTTGATAATCTATGGCTCAGAAACTCAAAGCAGCTAGAATCCAACCTTCCTTCTTCAACTCTTCAAACATTTATCAACTCTTATCATTACCTCCTGGTCAGGCACTCTGCTGGGTCCCAGGGACACAAAGACAAAGAACCTTGAATTTCTGCTGTCAAGTTTCTTAACAGTCCCTTCCCTCGCTGGTCCCCTTAAAGAATTCTCTGCTCAGACACTGTCCCCCAGAAAATGAGCATAAAGCATGCCAAGGAATCATTATGATTCTAGTTAAAAAACAAAACAATAAATGTTTTATGAGGTAGATAGTGAGAACTAACAGTTTAAGTGGAGCTTGTGAAGTATCTGTGGCCTTCATTTATCCACGGTCTTCTTGGGCCCCTTTCCTAGGATTACTGAGTGTTGACTCTAATAACAAAGAACACATTCTATGCTTGGATCTCTTTACTAAGACCTCATTTTACCCTCCACCCAGTCCATTTCCTTTTCCTCCACAGCTGTTGGCTTTATCCTGATTACTTGTTAGAGCTATCCTTTACATTTGTATTAACAACTGGTCACCTCTTTCCTCCCCTCCCCCAGTCTAACTATGCACACTACAGCCAAGATCTTTGAAAATACTAGGCTTTTTCAGGTAAGAAAAAAAACCAAACCTTCTTGAAACACTGTCATTTTCTTCATTAAAAAAAAAAAAAAAATATATATATATATATATATATATATATATATATATATGCTAAAATTGAAATTGATTCTGTAGAATTTTACCTAATGTTGAAGCAGTGAATTCCGAAAGCAAGAAACCTACTGTAACACAATATTACACTGGGCAAGACTGTGTCAAAGGAAAGTGAAACTCAGTCGCAGGGCCAGAGGCAGGATGGTCTCCAAGGCCCTATAAGGCATTGTTTTTATGCTTGGAAACTTCTCTCCCCTCCTTTTCTTGCAGAGGTCCAGCTGCTGCAGATTCCCCAAGGGATTCTGATCAGCTGCTTAGTTTAATTTTGCATGGAAAATCAGAGTCAGAAACTACTTAACATGTTCGTGAAGAGAGTTTAGGCCACTGAGAAATCAGAAAATCCTCCATGCACCATGCAAACTTTAACACTTTGATAACCACAGCTATGTATTCTGTCTACTGTCACCAGGCTGCTTCTGATGAAATGCTTTTGCTCAATTATGGAAACTCATATGCAACCCAAATGTTAATAAAAATGGAATTGATTATGTCATTGAGAAAACAGAAGACAGGATATGAGGAAAGAAAGAGGCATTAAGAAAGGAAATACTTGCTTTCTTAAAATGAAAGAAAGAGATGTAACACAAATACTCTTATGTAGAAACACTAAAATACCATCTACACAGTCAGAAGCACAACTGGCCTGCCTTTCCTCTTGAGGGAATGTTTAATGGTAGAATGATGGTGCTCAGATATCTTGAAAATTGTGACTTACACTAGGGCAAAGGTGAGTTCCATAGTTTGCTTCAAGAGACCTATTTGAAATTTCACTTGTCACACTGATAAACACTGTGATAATTGGAAAGCTTAGTTCTGAGCCTTGTGCCTCTATGCTTCTGCTCAAGAAAGGGCATCCCAGGTAAGACCATATAATTTGCATGTTAATCTGAGTCTACAGTTTAACTGGATAATGAAGTAACCAACACTATAACAAGAAAACAAAGATAGACAAATTCAGTACGTCTCACATCCATTTGTCAGTCTTCCAATGCAGTTGCACAGGCACTGTCACCTCAAATCTCACCGTTAGGAACCACTGATTTACTTCATATGGCTTGCAGATACAGCCCTGAAATTCACACAGAAGACTTCCAGAAGGAGAAGGATTTGTCTGTTAAAACAGCCATTTTGTGACAGCCACCTCCTGGATGCTTCCATTGCCACATTTTTACCATAGTTTTTACTGGTGTTTTTATTTTCTCCCACCTTTAGTTTTAATACAAAATCTATAGACTAGTTAAGGAGGCAGCACAATAAACCTGGCTGGCTGGTTAAATTTCCTTAAATTTTTCCAAGGAAACAAGTCCTGCCATTTCAACACAGCCTAATTCCGAATGAAAGGAGATAGGCTCTAACCACAGAATCATTTAAACTGGTTATGAGACAAGTGTACAGATTCATTTACATCTCAGGGGTTCCTATTCAAACTTCCTTAGGAAGTAGGTTATTTGATACTTTAATTCTTTTTCACTGGGTCATTGCTCTCAACAACTACAGCTATTATACTACTCTCATCCTCTACCTGTGCTGAAAGCCAAGAGTACTTTTAATTGCAAGGAAAATCAACAGAAAGATACTATCTTATTCGGTCAATGTGCTCATTGACACAGAATCCAGAAACCTGGACAGCTGTAATTTAGGGAAAAGATTCACTTTTTAACATGTGAATGGAATGCTTTATCTTGGACTTCTAGTTGCTAGAACATAAAAACAGCTTACAAAGGAATCACGAAAATGTATGTGTCTGCCTTCATGCACAAGCAGTATATACATGATTGATTTTAGTGTAGTATAATAGCAAATAAACAGTGAAGTAGTTCAGAGATTTGGCTTCTAGTTTTGGCTCTAAACACTAATTATTAAGACTCTGAAGGTTACTAAGCTTCAATTATCCCATGAATAGAATGAGAGAATCTGTCCTGCTTATGGCACGGAGCTGTTGGGAGAATCAAGAGACAATACTGATTATGCAAACATCAGATATTATATGTAACTGAAGTTCAACTTACCTGTTCGAAAGTCAAAGCTTTCGGGCTGGCTGAGACCATCTATGACGACCTGTAAAGTGTGTACTGTTGTCTTTAATCTTTCTGCAGCTTTCTCTATTCCTTCCTTGTCAAGAAATGAATTTATTTTTTGTTGCATTTCAGGTTTTCCAATCTCACCCAGTGTCCCTCCGATGAACAATAAAAATCTTCAGTGGAAAGAAAAGCCCGATATTTATTAATAATGTTACTTCTTCTCCAATCTCCTCACAAAGATCATCTTAAAATTCATGCATCTCAGATTTATATATCAATCATCTCAGATCCATACATCATTATAGTGAGTCAATCAGTCTTTACTGAGAATCTACACTCTATTCCATGCCATAGTAGGCAAACTATCTGGGGGGAACAAGGCAGTGAGAGGAGCAGGGAGTGGGTCGAGAACCTTGTACTGGTTTACACATGAAGCCCCTGCCTCAGAGCCAGCACCAGGAGCCCTCTGCAGTGTAATGTTCATCATCCCCCCTCCTCCAATAAGGTAATCTGCATTCAATTCATGCTTCCTGAAATTTTAGTTAGGAAAATATTTAAATTTAAATCAGCTAACAGGAAAAAAATTAACTGATGAAAGCAAAATCCAACAAATTATGCATCAAGCACTGGACTTCTGAGAAATGATGTGCTCTGAAGTGTGCTGTATCATTACTTCTGTGCACCATGATGGGAGTGGTGCTTGTGTAGCAGACTTTCAGCCTAATAAATGTCAAATTCCAACAAGCCTCACAAAAAACAATCTATATCAAGAACATGCAATATTCAGTCAGCAGGGAAAAAACATGGGAAGGGAAATGAGGTGTGGTTCAGTGGTAGAACATGTGCTTAGCATGAGGCCTTAGGTTCAATCCCCAGCACCAAAATCAAAAACAAAAACAAAAAAAACCAAAAGAGGATACCTGCAAAAAGGTAACTTTCAAAATGTAAGCAAGACCTCAATTATATTACGTAAAGTTGAACATTATAAACTTTAAGCATTACATAACTGCAGTATTTGCAAAATAAAAGCAGCTGACCTCAAAATTTTCCTTGTGTAGTTATGAAAATAGAGCTTTTGCAAATGGGAAGGGGAGCAAGAGTTGGAAGGAGCAGGGAGGGTGGGGAGGAGTAGGAGATAAAAAGATAAAAGAAAGAAAATGCATTATGTACAACTCCCTACAATACACATAATCGCTATGGACTGTGAACATATACTAACAATTTTTTTCCTTTTGCTATGTTCCCTTGCTTTCAGAGTTGCCTCTCAATCGCAAAGTTTTGGCATTCAGAAATAAGTTGAGTAAGAAAGAAACACGGAAAGGGTTAAGATGCATTTCTCTTCACTTTCATGTGAAAACTGTGCTGCACCTTACTTTCTTGACATTCCTTGGCTGGGTGTTTTTCTACATCATTAAGTTCCACTTCCTATGATTAATGGCACTTTAAAAATGTCAACACAGTAATCAGACAGATACTGATACTAATGCCCTCAAATCCTTTCCTCTGAGAATGTCTCTTGAATACAAGAAGGGGAAAAGGAAGCTGTTGGGGGTTTGTCTATAATGAGAATTGGGATATATCCCAATTAGCAGGTTGCTGGATCATCACAAAAGGAAGGTTTGTAATCCCAAGTCTCCTTTGGATTGATGTATTCAACCAGGAAAGTCCTCTTCAGTGATTAAGTATCCAGTGGAGAAAGCTCTCACTCACTTTTCAGTTGGTTAGGCCATCTCTTCAGGATTCTTATGTGCAATCCTACATATTTCTTAGCCATATTTTTTATAAGATTTCAGCATCCAATTATTTCTCTTATGAATATATTTTGGTGAACAGTCTAATAAAACACAGGAGTGATGCTTAGTATCCTTCTTTGGAAATGAGCTTGCATCTAAACTGGGGGCCAGGGAAACACACCCTGTCTGTATGCTCATGGCTTCCACAGCAGGCAGCGAGCCAGTAGGTTTCATTCAGCACTGACGGGAAGCAGCACACAGGGTCCTGGTGACAGGGCACAGCTGTTAGAGCCATGACTGAAGGGGAAGATGACACATGACAACCTCTGCCCACAGTCAACTTCCTTACAACTCTCCAAATAATTCATGCCTTGCTGATCAGGCTTTCCTACTATTCACGGTCTTGGCTTTATTGATCTGAAGCTGGTTATTTAAGCAGAACATCTTTCAAATCCTCAAGATTCATCTGCTAAAATGCCAAAAAGTATACACATGGGCTGTAAATATACAACCTTGAATAGCATTTCACAATTAACAGAAGCAATTAAATGGCAGAAACTTCCTAAAGCACTGTGTAAGCCTTGGCCTCAATAACAAAAACACTTATTCAGCAGGTCACAAGGAATCTTAAGACTGCGTGTGTAAGAGAGAACTAACTGCAACAGAAATCACTTTCACACATAGAATGCTGCATCTAGTGACTGCAGAGGTAAGAAAAAAACTTCTGTTTAAATTGAGTGCTTATTTCATATATCATTTTCATTTCTACTAGTCACTAAAACCAGTAAAAGAGCAACAAGTTGTGCTCCCAGCTTAATGCTTTATACTGATCAGACCTATTTTTAAATGGCTATGGAACAAAGAGGCAACATTTTTTTTTTTAATTTTACAAACAAGAAAAAAAAACATCAGAATTTCAAAACAAGATAATGAGAGAGTAACAATAATTAATACATTGCGTATTGTTATCTTTAGAGCAGTTATTCAGGATACAAGATGTAAGTGTGAGATATTGTCCAAACAATACTAGCAAAAACCTTTAACAAGGTCACAGAGGGCACAGGGACTGACCCCTCCTTATTGATTTCAAATATACTCAGCTGCACAGACAGGAAGCAAGGTTTTATGCTCAGTGGTCGTTCAATAGACACATGATCCTTTAATTTTTACATATTTCAAATTTTTACTTTAGAATTGAAAAGCAGTAATACTCAATATGAAGTACTTCCTAGCTCAAAATTACCAAATAAATCATTCCTTTAAGAAGCTTGGAACCAGATTGTAAGTGAACATGTACTAATAAATAATGTACTGAGAATCACGTTAGTGAGATTTCCTCACTTAATCATGACCGCCATCCTAAAAGGTACTTATGATATTATACAGGAAAGGAAAATTAAGCTTCCGGGGTTTAAATTATTTACCCAGGGCCATAAGCTATTCTTTGGCTAGAGTTTTATACATACATACAAAAGATATCTTTGCAACTGACGGCATGTAAAAATTGTGTCGTATTTGGTGAAGATAGAAAACACAACATTTTTGGTAATGTTTTACCAACACAATTTAATGGATGATTACTTCTAAACATTACACAGTTAACAATAACTACCCCACAAAGAACTTACTAGATACAAGCTTTTAAATAGACAGTTCTCTCCAAAGTCAATGAGTTACTAAAATCACAGGCTCACTCCACTGTCTCTGGAAGATTTTTTCAATTTGCTAAGGACTGCTGTTGGAGCTGCTGTTTTTATTTAATATGTAATTTCATCCATCTTATATAAAGTAAGAAAGTAGCATAAATGCAACAAATAAGCACATCATGTTCTTTTAGCACACATCTGTGCGAAGTTAAAATACAGACCTTGAAGCAAAGATAATGCTTATTTCTCAAACAGACAGCTATATAACCTGAAATCACTGACATTTTCAACAGAAACTTATTACAAATGCAGGGCTTTTCCCTTCAAAAAATAAAAAGTTTAGTAAGCTTCTTTTCTCCCAAAGAAGAAAAAATTCTCAAGATTTGTAAGACTTTAGGCACAGCCATTCAGTTTTATGTAATCATTTCCAGCCTGGAGATTTAGGGGCTGAGGGCTCGGTTCATTACATTAAAGCAACATGATACCCTACAGAGCACTGAAGAGCCACGGGGATGCAACACAATCACTTTAAAAACAACTTAATATTAGCATGTGCTTTGTGGGCAAAACACATATGATTTATAACTCCACCAAGAACCGTGCTGTGAGGGCAACGTACTTTTTGCCTATGTATCTTATCACTTTGTAGAGATTTTCATACTTGTTTATTTATAGTCATTTTTTTTAAACCTAGTTTTAGAGTAATCTCATCGGTAAGCAAAAAAAAAAAAAGTTAAATGCAGGAGGATAGACATTTTGAAGGTGACTAGGAACAGATAGCTCAGATCAAAATTTGAAATACAGAGAAGTATTTGGTGACTTAAAAAGAGAACATACTCTAAGAGGAAATCTGGCCTTTTAAACTGTAATTTGCAGGGTAAGCAGCGGGACACAAAAGATTGAGTAGTAGTGTTTTACTCTAAAAAACACTGATTTTATAAGCATTTGCAAATCTACTGCTCATAACATGAAAGACTCAAATGCAGCAAAGCAGAAGAACCTGCTCCAGTTAGGACCCTTGAAAGGGGAGCTGAACGGCACTGTATTTAGCAGCAAGCATTCTTCAGCTTGAAGCAAGACTGCCAGCTTTACCACAGCTGTCGTTCCAGCAGCCAAATCAAAGCAACAGCAATGTAACTACACTTTAATCACCATCAAAGAAACTTTTCAAATTTCTAACCTCCTTGTTAAGCCAAGACACTAAACTTGGCCAAAATTCTTCAAAATCTATGCTGGTGCAAAACCCACAAGTAATTATAAATTCAAATAGAGTGTATTTACAGAAAGACCCCAAGAAGCTAGTAGAGAGCTAACGAAAGTAATATCTAAATGGCTTTTCTTAGCATTTAATCAACCACAGAAGCAGCAAACAGTCTGTGTAAGAACTTACAGTGAACTGGCTTTTAAAAACTAATATAGGTAAATATTTTCGAAATGTAACCATTTTTAAGAGGGTGAGGTATTTGTTCTAAAAGCTCTTCTAGGATGATATGAGAGTAGTTTTAGATGCTGTGCAGCTATGTAGTCTCTGGGGAGCAGCTGAGCTAGAGGCCGGCAAGTTCCTTGGGGCCAGAGCAAGGCCACCCCCGAGTACATGGAGCTCCAGAGGTGAGCCATGTGAACAAGTTCCTGGGATTAGAACAGGGCCAGTCCAGCAGGTGTCTGGCTTGGTGTTATACCTTGTTAAATGTAGCAGTCAGCTCTGAGAATATTTGTCTTTCAGTGTTCTCAGCAAAACACTGAGACCTGGCACTTCTCAGGTCTTCTCAAGCCTCGTGGTGTGCTTCCTCTTCT